ATTTACTCACTATTTTCGTTCCATTCCTTTCGCGGCCAGCTCGCACCTCTCGCGCGCGCCACCCGCCTTGCACTTCTTTATTTCCCGCTTTTCCTTTTTATTCCTTCCTCTTGCCGGCACTCGAGCGCTCGCTCGCGTCGAGAACTTCTTTCACTGCACGCCGAAAACTCCATAAGACACGCGACATACTCGTATAACGCGGATTTATTTTCTCGACTTTGTCCCTCATCTCGTTCCTGCTGCCATTCCTGGACGCCCGGCACTCTTTCATTTTATTCGCACACACACACACGCAAAGGCAAACGGCTAAAAGCGGATGGATTTCATTGGGCGCTCGCTTTTTTCGTCGCTTTATTGCGTCCTAAAAACGCACGCGTCTAAACACAACACTGTTGGAAATGAAAAAAAAAAGACGCACGAGCGCAAAGAATGAAAAACGTGTGTTTAGGTGGCACACGCACAAAAACCGCCGCCACCGCCGCAAAAGACCAACGAATCATGGAAATAATACGACTGCTTGTGAGATTAACTCAAGCACTCCTCGATAACACGATAACTATTCATGATAGCCGAGCGCTCACAGCGGCAGAATTTAAAATGATTAATGATCTTCCAATTTGACACGCGCGGAGACTTGCAGCCAACATCGCGCCGCCGCTGCAGAAATAAATAAAAACCGCTGGCACTAAAAAGCAATCATCGCTTGGGCGGAAAAAGCGTGGCAGCGAAAAACACGACACGGAAAAAAATCCGGAGAGAAAATCGAATGATTTTCTTCTCGTCGCGCTCGAAATGAGAAATACAAGAATCCGAGGCGGTCGAGTTCGACAAGTTCATTTTGTCGTTTGATTTGGTAAATGAATTTACCGACTCTCCGGCGACCTCTTTCCGCCCCATCCGAGGCGGCATCTTTGCCGCCCGTGGCCGTTCGTTTCACTTCATTCAATTCGCGTAAAACTGGAAAACTTCATAGAAATCAACAAAAAGCCACGCCGGTGAAGAAGTCCTCGTTAAAAAAAAGGAAAACGAAGAAAACCGGTGGCGAAGAAATTGTACTTAATATCCGTGCCGCTCGAGTTCGCGACGATTGCTACGCACAAATGATAGTTTAGTCAGTGTGTGGTGACTTCGAGCCCCGAGCAGAAAATTAACGAAATAAACACAATAAAAGTTTGCCGCGAGGCGAAACATAACTGAAATCGCAACAACCGAAATCAAGTCGTTACGGATTGACGCGGGGGAGAGAAAAAATCGAATTGAATCGTGAAAAGATTTAATTACGTTTGGAATTTCGGACAAACGAGAAAGATCTTCGGCTTACTGCCCGATTGCAATCGGTGCAAAAAAATAAGCGAACGGCACGTAAAGAACAAACAAAATAAACTGATCCTTAATGTTACCTAACGTGTATCTCATACTGCATCAGTTTTTATTCTCTAACTGATAAAACAGAAAGGTATAAATAATTTAAACAGTTTAATGCATCCCTCTGAGATCAAAAATTAAGTATATCTGCCTGTCTGGTTGCCTATTGAATAAATAATCCGAAAAGAAAGTTTGAATCGTTTGAGAAAGGATCCGCGCCGACTCCAGGCAGCTGTAAAAACATATTTTACGTGTCTATTAGAATTAGGTAGATATTGTTGCTGACGCATGCCGCTCGCACCCTTATCAACGCTGATATGTGACGCGTTGGAGGATCGACAGGCTCAGAACAAGCGAGCAAATCACAAACAGCGTCTATTTTCTATCATTACCTTCGTTATGCTTCGGCAACATCACCGGAAAAACGGAGAAATGAAATTATCCGCCGCCGCCGCCGCCGTCGTGTTAAACTTGTGTGATTATTTCGCCCGGGGGTGGCGATACAGAAAAGAACAAACGTGTCGTCGCGACTGCCTCCGGACCGCAAACACGTAAAATCCGTGCGCGCCTATCCGGCGTGCCGCCCGAGTCGACTTTCGTGCGTCGCCCGGCGGCGGCAATCTCTCGCCGCTTTATCAATACCATAAATCACTCCTGTATGGATCCGATGATAAATGGCGTTGCCATGGTCGCGAATAAATTGAAGCCGACAACGGACTTGCGACGACGGTCGCTCGATCGAAGAACAACACATCGCCCAGGAGTGTCAAAAATCATGTCGCGATAAAAAAATGCATCCCGAATGAAATTTTGTTTGTGATAATGTCGGCGCGAAAAATTACTTAAAATAGTCTCAAGAGCGCGCCGCTGGGCGCACGTGCGCCGTCTGCGCTTGAAATTAAATAAAATTGCGCAGCGAATATTTTACGTCTGAAAGCAGCCGCCAGTGAACAACAGCTTCCTTGGCGACGGAGCATCGGAGCGCAAACTTACGAGCACTAATAAGCTGTTATAGGTAACATAGTTTAGCGAATTAATAACAAAATTCGCACCTGCAGCTCGCGCTGCTTGTCTCTGTATGCCCGGCGCCTCCACCCCAACACTTAGACGCACTTGTTCCGCATCGTACTCGACACACATGCCTACACCCAGTTATAGCGATGATGCTAAGCAGCCGGGGGAGAGCAAAACGCAAAATGCCGAGCACAGTGGAGTCCCTCGCGCAGGGCGCGCCCAAGTTTCCGCGAGCCAGATAATTAATGCTTCGAACAACATCTTGCACATACGCGCGCGCTAAATGCAATAAGTACGTTTACAAGTAGTAGAAGTGCGCCGAATACAATTGCGCGCGATTGTCTGCGACCCGACGCATACCAATTGTTCGTGTGATCCACCGTTCAGGTGCGCGTCGCTCCCTGATCAAAGTATCCTCAACAATAAGCCGCTTGCGTTCGAATGGCACGCGGTGTGTTTGCGGGCATAGATTTACTAGTTTGCTTGTAAGTTGGAATTAAATATTCCGGACGAAAAGCGCGCGCGCGCACTCGTGGAATTAATTATGAGATTTATTCGATTAACCACCGAGACAATCGGTATGGTCGCGCGAGGAGGACGTGCAAGCGGCGTGGATAACGCCGCCGCCGCCGACAAAAGCGAGACACACGAGCCGCCCGGCGACGACGCAACAAAGCGACCAAACTTTCACGGTTGGGTGTATTATGTATTGCAATTGCGAATGCGACTCGGTTTAATCTTATAACGTTCATAAGCGCATAACTGCGAAGCGGCGAAACACTGCACCGAACGATAGTGGAATGCTGTAAATTTCATAATAAAATATCGAACCGAGTGCTAGAATTCGCCGCCTGCGAATTGCGCACATTTCATCATCCAAAAATCTAAAAACTAAAAAAATAAGTCGAATAAGTTATTGCTGAAGAGAGTTTTATGTTGAATTAGTATTGCTGTGTGCATACTCGGGCAGTGTGTGTAGTTTTTCAAGTTTTTTCCGGCGGTCTTAATCTCGTTTCGGACTCCTCGGCCGCTTCAATATAGAAAATTGCCAGATACCGAGAAATCCACATCCCGCATCATCCACCCACCCAGGAAACGTGCGATGTCGTCGTCAGGATAACGTTGACTCTTACCTTCTGCTTTCTGTATACCCTATATACACACATATGCGCCACTGGTGCGTCCGTCCAATATTTTTCATCCGTGATCTTTCTAATACCATCCGAGCATCAACCCGGCTCGACGAGAGACTATTATAAACTTGGCTTTTCAGTTAAACTTGTTAGGAGGCCGATTTGCGGTATCCATTCCACTTCGTTACGAGCGAATTGTATTCGGTTCAATTAGAGTGGTTAGCTTGCGAGTTTTCTGATATTTTTATCTGAAGTAGTTTTCCCGCTTTGCACTTCTTGGCGGATGGCGTGTATGTGCTCGAGGGGCATAAGTACAGCACTAGTATGTGGGTAGCGAGTGCATCGACGATATATATTTTCGTGCTTTTACTAGTGGCCAATCTCGAATATTGAAGCCATCTGCTTGTTGGACGGACGGCGCGCGCGCGCCATAGATGTTCCCGAAGGTAAATGGTGTACGTGAAATTGGATGGGGTATAAACTACGAGACGAGACGCGCGTTACACCACCGGCCACTCACTCGCAACTCTTTTTCCGGCGGTGGCGGTGGCTGGTTTACTTCATTTCGCCCACTTAACTGCAGCCCCTTGGCGCTTCCGGTTGTTGTGATTCCGGTAACATGATTACTAGTGTACAATTTAAATCCTCCAGCGTCTGATGCTGCTTTTGATGTTGCCGGCGACGTGTTGTAGATGCATTGCATGCAAAAACGCCGGCAAATCGAATGAAATATCGGTGATACTAGAAAAATTATTGCTATAATTCAAGTAAGTAATGCCAGCGCTCCGGGTAAGAAAAGAATGGCATTTTGCATTATGCAATTGTGAGTTACCGAATGCGAGTTCGGCGAATCGGTTTCGGGTTAAAGCGAATCGACCGATCGTAAATTACATCATTGACGTTGTAATGGTGGCTTGTAGAGTTATAGATAGGGGCGGATTTCGCTCCGAAATCGTTGTTGGAATCGGTAACAAGACGCGAAGAAGTCGGGAGACGAGCGGCGAAAAACGCGCGCGCGTGTGCCGGCCAGCGGCGGCGGCAGCGGGGGGCCATATGAACGGACGACGAGGACGAGAAGGAATGGCTCGCTCGAACTTATTGGAAGTGCGCGCCTTTTGTAACTGTGATTTGTAACGACTTAAAGCGCGGTTTTCGGCCCCGCGCGCGCCCTCCGCCGCCGCCGGAATGATGTAAAGAGCTACGAGTGCCAAGTGCCAGCGCTAAAGACCTCCACCCCCCAGCGCAAAGTCTTGTAAATTACATCAAGCTCCCGCGAGTCTTTTTACTCGGCCCGGCACACCGAAAACGTCAATTTTAAGTGCTCAGAACAATGCTATTTATTGATCATAAACTTCTATAAATTAGAACGTCATAAATCAAAACTTTCCCTCCGCAGCCTTGCGGCGCATACAGCTTGTTCTTTAAACACGTCCCGACTAATCTCTTTTCTCTTCTTTCCAGCCTTGCAGAGCCTGTTCGCGATGGACGCACAAAGCCAGCAGCCACAGGGCAACTGAACTCAGACTGACACAACAACAACGGAACCAAAATCACCAACCACTGCCAAATGCGTTTCTAGACTCTTAGACACTAGTTCTAGCTGAAGGTGCCTCTGTAGTCAAAAGTGCACGGGCACAAACCGGACACTTTCTATCTCGTTCGCGGTTCGGGATCAGCCGCGCAAAGATGCAACGCGCGCTCGCGTCCCGTCAATCGCATCATCATCACGCGTCCGGCGGCGAAGACGCCGGCGGTGACCACCAGCACCTCCTCGGCCCGCTGGAGAGCGCGCTGTCCTGCCTGTGGGTGGTCACGCCGCTGGCGGCCACCGTTTCGCTAGTGCTTGTGTTTGTCGCGATGCTGACTAACCAGTGGCTGCACACCGACGAGAAGATGAACAATCCATCGTACAACGGCACCGGCGACAAGGATTACCTCTCCAAGATGACCGTCTCCGGCTTGTGGATGTTCTGCTTTACAAACCGTAAGTTTTTCCATCACATAACCTCAATTCAAAGCTAGGAAAGCCATAAATACTTAATATTTGCGTCTGACAAATTCATTTCGGTGTGTATCGCACACCTTTGAGGGCGTCTCTTGTTTCCAAAGATTCGCAGCGCACATAGATTCTTATTGCATTGTTATGCGAAGTTATGTATGAAGTTATCGTATAGTTGAATGCATCCGGAACGACAACGTTATAGCGCACTGGGAAGTCGAGAACTGCTAAACGAACATACGATATTCTACCGGGTGTTTGTAAATAATACCGAATACTTTTTGGATTATGTTTGGTGTTAAATATCGATGGCTCTAAATGCCCCCAGATGCTTGTTATGATCGGTGATGAATGCGCTCAAAGATAGCCCGAAAAATACCTCCCTCGAGCGCGTTTAAAAATGTTTCGAAACAAGTTGTATCGAGGGGGAAAGTTTTTCATCGGAAAATCGCAACGAGCACATCGTGTGCCATAAGCCAACCTCTTGAATATTGCGCATTGTTGTCGTACACCGTCGACGAGGCGCGCCGCGGCGCGGCAGTCATAGCGCCGCGTAACGGCGTGCCGCCGCCGCCGCCTCCACCACCCCCTATCCCATCTACTTTCAAAGCGGCGAGTCTTTCGGCGTCTCGCCGGCGCGCACAATACTCGTGATGTATTGTGCTCCGGAGGTGTTCGCACAATACGCCAACAGCACCTCTGCGAGCGCCGCCGCCGGAAAATGCAGCAGCGATACTTTAACCATTTTCGCGACCAGACTTAATTACCGATCGCCGTCGTGATAAAAGGTTAGGCGCGTTGTCGCCGGGCCGCTGTTTGTGCGCCAATTCATTTTCGGCCGGCTAAGCGAATTACTCATTAGGACGGATGAGGGATATGCACAGGCTGTGCTGTTGGGCGGCGAATGAGGGATGAAGGATTCCTCGTACTCCTCGGGCATTTATTTCGTTCCGGCGTGCGGATTTATTCACTCGCGCACCCCGACAATGCGGACGTTCACATATTGTGTAATTAAGACCGGACAGGATCCGCGCGGCGCGGCGCGTGCGAGGATGTGGATGCGCGCCGCCTCCGTCGCACGGCATGAGATGTGAATGCTCGAACTAATTACAAGTTAGCTCAAGTCGTTTACACGACCTCGCTGAGTTATGAGTGGCGAGGGTCTCTTTTCCAAGTCGCTCCCTCAACTACAACAATAATTTCCTCTTCGCATGGGTGTACGCGCAAAAACACCGCCCGAGGACTAATCCGGGACGACTTGGTCGTAAATCCAAGTGTATTTTGATTTTTTGGCGTTGTTGTCACCCTCGGTGGAGCACTCCGGTCTTCAGGATGACAGATAAAAGGATAACTATCACGTTGTACACTTACAGTTGGAACTTGTTGAATATGATAACGCCGGACAACAATAAACAACTGCCGGCCGCATCGCTGTAATTATTTATAAGCGCAGAGATGCAAATTGCGAATTGTTAACCAGTGCTGCGTCGAGGATGCGCCGCACACCACAAAAAACCCGCGCCCGCGCGCGTGCAAAAAGTATTTTTAATTAAAGTTGCGTCGAAGCGCCGCTATGCAAAAAACTTGCGAGGAGGCACGAAGCGGCGCGGAAAGAAAGTTTATTAATTAGCGTCGAATCCGGGGGATTTTTAAAAGGCGGACGCGCAGGTCAACACCGAATACAAATACCGGCGAGCCTGGCGCCAGCGCCGGCGTTAAAAAGTTGAGTGCATGAAAAGTTAATTAATAAATATATGCGCGGGTGTGTGAACGCACAGGAGAAAAAAAGCAGGCGCCTCCGCCAAAGTTAAATATCACGACGCGGGCATCGTTTAGCGGGGGCGCGCGCGCCACGATAAATCATCGAACTCGTTCGCACGTTACACATTTTCCGCGCATAAATCGTGCGCGGCGAATTCCCCCGATGCGGCTCGCCCACAAATTTAATCAGAAACTTCCTAACTGCCAGCTGAATAAATTTACATTATGCCCCAAAACAAACCGACGCGCTGGTACTGTGCCGGCGGAGCGCGAAGACGGCCGCCTGCTTACCTTCGAATTTATGCACTCCTCGAGGACGCGTTAGGTGTTTAAATGCGTCCGTGTAGATTATTAACCCTTTAAATGGATAATGAATGTTGGTTGTCTCTATTGGGACGCGCCGTGCGGAAAATATTCGCTTCATTAAAATTTGCGTACGCCGGCTGCAGTTTTGCAACACTTAGCGATTAATTAAGCGCTGCTCCGTGTTCACACTTTCGAAGCTTACTTATTATTCGATTTCGGCCGGCATAACAACGACGATGCGCCACTTTGACTCGGCGCGAATAATTGAATCAAATGCCCGCCGCCGCTGCTGAAATCAAAGGCCACTTTAAGTCCTTATGACCCGTTCGGTTTTAACGGCCGCCGGGAGGTGTTTCCATTTTCGCGCCGCTTTCTTGTTGTATCGGCACGAAGTTGGCCGTGCGCAGCCAAAGGGCACTTTGATCGCGAGCCGCGAGTCTTGAATGCGGCCCTGCGTCGCAATTAGCGCACCGCTCCGAAACTCGCAACTTGCCACTTAACAACCACTTAATGCTCGATACGCTGCTCTGCTGATGTGATCAGAACTGCTTCGGCAATCGGCGCCGGAAATAAAACGACGACGACCGAAACAATCGCTTAACTGATCCGCGCTTTGATCACGACCAGTGTCATCCGTAATTATAAATTTTGTTTATGAAGCTTTGATATCCGCAGCCATAGAAAACTCTATTCATCAGCTGAAATTTGATCATCCAACTATTTGCTTGACTGGATTCATCGCTGAATGTTTTATTCCGTTCGGGAAAAAATCCGCCGCCACCGTTTAAAAATAATATTAAATTACGTGAATATTTTATGTCTCGGGACGCAGGCGAGTTGTTTGTTTCGCCGCCCGCGGCCGTTCGAAAGTATTAGTGAAATACGAGCGCGAGTGCGAGTATGAATTAATGCGGCGTCCACCGGCGGCGGCGCGAAAACGCGTCCTTCGCGCAGCATCCATCTCCGGCGGACGGCGACTATTCCACCACCGCCTGTGGCAGGGTCGCCGGAAAAACTGTCGGCGAAAGCCGAGGAATAAAAAGCCAGCCAGACACGTAGTATAGTGAAAATTTTACGGTTTGTTGTATATATGAAACAATTAAGAGATAAAATATTAAAAGGAGAGTTTTATTATCAGGCTCGCGTGCCCGCCGGCGACGCGGAGTTAAAAGCCGATAGCATTTTTCCCGCCGCACGCTCACACGTTCACACACTCCAACATACACATCGTCACCGGCATCGCCGCCGCCCCGTAGCTGGATGCTCCGACGGCGGCGCGACGCGTCTAAACATTTGCATTCGCGTTCGCATCAGCATTAACGTTTACGAGTCGCGCGCGCGCGCGCGCGGTAATTTATTGAAGCAAAAACTATTTTTATTTGCGCGACGCTCGTTTTTATCCTTTCTGCACACGCCGCTTTGCACGTTTTCATTATGCCGTTTACACGCTCGCCTCGACAAATTCAATTATTATTAGATTATTGAAATGATAACTTCATATTTACACTGTTTAATCACACTTGCATTCAACATTTTCATTAATTCTATTTGCGCGCGCGCGCGCTATTAGCCTGTATCAAAATGTGAAAAAATTAAATTAAAAGCGTGCTGTTTGCGCGGACGTGCGCAAACAAAGCCGACCAGAGTAAATCTTAGCGAAATGCTTCGGGTTATTCTCAGCAGATGGAAGAGCAGAGGCGAAACATGGCCAACAACACAGTGGCAACAGATGTAATTGACTGAAATTATGTAACCGCAGCTTTCGGTGCAAACTGATGTAAGCAACAAAGTAAAATAAGCGAGTGGAAGACGCGAAACTCCGCGCCACCGCCACCGGCAACAGCACGCCACCAGTGAATATTTAGGTCAGGCATTACATTTTTGTTTGCATCTTACTACTTTGCATTTCGGCGCGCATGCGCGCGCGGGTCAAATTTGATATTTGTTGTTTTTTAAGCTTTTTTTTGTTGCTTCGTTTCGCTGGAAGGCACAAATCAGATCAGCTTAATGTCGGGGGTGCAAAGTTGGACGCGGTTGTGGGCGCGCGCGCGTATTGCGATGTGCGGGCTAATGGAATATTCATGTATTTCGTTCACCTGTTTACACATAATATCGCGACGCGCTGTTTTCGTTCGGTATTCTTTCGCAGCACGTGCCGCGCGCACAGTTCCTAATGTTTTATCCAATTGAGCGCCAGTTTGTTTATGTTTTTACGTTTTTGATACTTTTGCACTTTTTTGCGCGGCGTTTACAAAGTTTCAATTAAATTTTGCATAAGTAGCTTCACGCCTACACGCACACAAAATACGAAATATGTTTTTTGTTGCACTTGCTCATAGAATTTAAAATTTTAAGCGTATATTCAGTTTTTTATGTTGGTTTTTTTTTGTCTTGTGTACGTTGGCGAAAGTAAAGTGAGTTTTTTTCGACTTGAGGAAAATAAACGCTGTATTATAACTTCTTTTTCTGCGACGATGCCACGATGGCACCCTGCTGGTGACTTAGAGACTAAAAGACTACATAAAGCAATGTCATATATTTTTATTATGATAAATTGCCGCCGACTTTCGCCGCTTCGCGACCCGTCTCGACTCGAATTCGCAAATGACGCCAATACGATGCGACAACGTGCGGCAGCTAGACAAAAAACGCGTTTTCAGAAAATCATGCTAGGAGCGCGCGCATTTTTCATCCTTCGACGACATCACACCGAAGAAAAAGTGTGTCATCGTTTCGCACGCACTACAAAGCGAAATCAATTGGGTATTGTTTTTTTTTTCTATGCCATATATTTATGTATAAATAAATATCTGTTGCTTGGTGGTAAATGGCGCGCGGTTCGTAATTGGCGCAAGCTAATTGAATTACTCAATTATTCGCGCGCGTGCCTGAAAACTCGTTACTTCAGCATACTTTCA